GACGCAGACGAAGAGATGAAGAGGAACAGGCCCACTCGTCACAGCCAAGTCGTCATAGGGAAACTGGTCATAGGTGAACTGGTCAAAGAGGGCATCTCGTTCTAGGTGAACTCGTAGCAGGGAAAGTGGTCGCAGTGACCTTCTCGTTCCTGGAAAGTTCGTCACAGACTTTTTTTTTTTTTAGAGACGGGAGGCGAAGTTGCGGGGAGGGGGGGGGGGGGGGGGGGGCTTTATTTTGGAGAGTGGTTTCATCGAACTTGTCGCAGTCCCAAACTTGGCCTCTCCTTTTGCTTGTTTGCTAGGGGCGGCTGTGGTCGGCTTTTCGGTGTTATCTTCACTTACGACGTCCCTTTGTTATTAAACACTTTTCGGAAGTTTTGCTAGGTTAGAACGTATTGTGGAATGACAAAACAGGAATGCGGTATGCAGACCTCCGCACCTGGATGCTAGGAAGTGTAGCAGTTAGGTTTCGTCTTTGGGGACGTCTTCTATTTTCTCTATACCTACTCCAAAAAGGTTTTCCATTCGAAGTGGCTTCGAATACTTATATATATAGGGGCGAAATGGGCGGACCTTCAGAGAGCACGACCGCATTTCGTATGATGGACCGAATTCAAACCCAGCGTGGCGCTCCCATGCTGTGCGAAAGGTATTCTTATACGCTTAGCCGAAAAGACCCCGACGCTGTGTACTGGGTCTGTAGAGATAGAAAGCATTGCAAAGGCCAAAGCCATTACCCTCAGATGCACCATGACGACTTGCCCTACTTGATGAGTTTGCTTATGAGTTGGCTTGTGATCGGTTCTCCTAGACCCAATATTTTCATGTTTCAGAGTGATTGTTACAGTCGGTCATGGGCTAATGAGTTTGCTTTTCTTGATTGCACGAGCGCGCACGCCCAACCAAAGCACGGCGGAAGCTAACGTGCGCGCTCTTTACTTGTCCCCGACAGTATATTATTCTCAGGTACGGCCCAGCGTGCGGTATTTACAGCCCAGAATGTGCGTGTTCGTCGCTTCGGAAAGCGAGCAAAGCACGCGCCATACGCACAAACTCTTCGAGATGGCAGCAGAAGCTCTTTTTGAGAAAAATCTATACAAGACCATGTCGTGCTTTTATTTTTAGTTGTAAATTACTCTTTGTCATCAGTTATCGAAGCCGAATTGCAAACGCAAGATCGGCGAAAAAGATAAATTGTGACGAAATGGACAAGTGCCCAGTTGCCCTCTCTTAAAATTTCCTCTTGTACGAGGTGCCCTATGACGACTTGCCCTATTTGACGAGTTTACCTATGACGAGTTGGCTGCGACGAGTTGGCTTGTGACAAGTTCTCCTAGACCCCAAACGATCTCTTTCGCAGTTCCCATACACATTAGGCACTTCATCTCGGGTCTAGGAGAACTCGTCACAAGCCAACTCGTCGCAGCCAACTCGTCATAGGTAAACTCGTCAAATAGGGCAAGTTGTTTGCGAGTGAAGTTTATTACCTGGCATTTGGATTTATTGAGTAGCATTAGCCATTCTTCACACCAGTTATTAATGCTATCAAGATCATGCTGCAGTAGTATACGGTCATCTGGAATGTGAATTCTTCTGTACAAAACACAGTCATCCGCAAACAAGCGTACTTTACAAAACGAAACATTTGGAAGGTTGTTAATGTCGATAAGAAATAACAAAGGATTTGGGACACTTCCTTGTGGAACGCCAGAGGTCACATTAGGAAGGCCAGATCGAAAATCACCGCAGACGGTATACTGAGAGCGAAACGAAAGAAAATTGCGAATCCATGAGAGTGTTAAGGAATCAAGATTAAGTGAAGAGAGCTTAGACAAAAAACGACACTGGTGAACGCGGTCGAATGCTTTAGAAAAGTCCAGAAATATTGCGTCAGTTTGAGAGTTAGACCATGTTGAGGTGGAGGTCATGGGTGAATTCAAGGTGTTGCGCTTCTCAAAAAATGCCTTTTCGAAAACAATACTGATGTTTATGAAATAAATTGTTAGACTCAAAATAGGATGCAACATGTGAAAAAATAATAATAACAAGTACTTTGCACACAACACTGGTTATAGAGATAGGACTGTAGTTCTCTGCGAGGGGACGACTTCCATTTTCGAAAACCGGAACGACCTTCCCTATTTTCGAGTCGTCTGGAATGATACCGGCGGACAATGATTGTTGAAAGAGTAGATTGCAAATTTCACTGGATATGCGGTTTGTATTCTTAAGAAGCTAAGAGTTAATTTTCTCCGTGCCAGCCGATGTAGTTATTTTTAAGTTATCTATAATCTTTTCAATTTCAGAAGGTGGTATGGAAACAGGACTCATGAATCGATAGCCAACGTCATTGATAACGGGCACTGTCGACGTGTCCTCCTGTGTAAGCGTACATGCTAAATGGTTATTCAAAACAACAGGACATTCAACATCAGAAATGGTATCACCTTCCCGGTTAGTCAAGGATATTTTGTTTGTGGTTTCATTTGGTGCGATAAGCTTCCAGAATTTTTTAGGGTTGTGTTTTAGGACGGATGCTAAGGTCCCAGTTATAATAATCTCATTTGAATTCTCGTACGCGATTAACATAAAGCTCTGCACACGAAATGTACTGGGACCAAGCATGTTCAGTGCCGGCGTGCCTAGCAGCTCTAAATAACCGTTTCTTCTTAGTGCGCAGGGCTTTCAATGTCTTGTTGAACCAAGGCTTGTTGCTATCAGAAAATATTTTGAAGCATGGCGCGTAACGGTTAACACATTCAACAGTTTTAACTGTTTTACTGTAACCAATTCTCATTTACTCTGCGACCCCGGAAATACACGGAGAAGCTGTTGCAAAATATATCGAGGTCTTCATTCATCTGAAAAAAAGTCAGCTTTATTGTAATCAAGTTGTATAATCTTTGAAGTTGTTGAGTGTTCAGATGAGAACATAGGGTTATCTGTATTAGTTTAGGGTCACTTATGCTGTTTATGTAATTTATTTAGCTAATCATGGCAGGATGAGACACAAGGAAAATATCAAGAATGTTGTTCAAGCGCGTTGGTTGATCAATTACTTGTTCGATATAAATCAACGACTGTTCCTCCTGGCATGCTAATGAAATCGTCGTCCAGCCAATATTTGGAAAATTAAAGTCACCAAATAGCAGAGTGTTAGCATCCCGAAACCTGCTTTTGATAACGGAAAGAATATTTCTTAACTCAGCACACAAACTTTTGTCACAATCTGGAGGCCTGTAACATACACCAACAACATATTTGCCGCTAGATAAAGATAGGCAGACCCAAAGTGCCTCTAGGTTGCTACTTAGGTTAATGACGTACGAGGGCACGCGATTTTTTATCGATATCATGACACCAGCTCGTCGTTTGTTTAGGCGATCCTGGCGATATATTTGAAAGTCATTTCTCTCCGGGAAAACTTCGCTATTCATGTTATCAGGTTTGAGCCACGTTTCTCTCAACACAATTATGTCAGAGTAGGTACCTTCGATACATGTATACTCAATTCATCGCGTTTAGGAAGAATGCTACGAATGTTACTAAATGATAAGGAGAGGGGTGGTTTATCTCTGTACGTGTTTAAGGAGGCGGGAAGAACGACGCGGGCGTGAGTGCCCATTCTTTCTTGTTGCTATCTTACCTCTGTGATGCAGTCAGTGTCCCGATTATACTCGTACGTTCTGTTGTTGAGTTTAAGCTTATCGAATCGTAGTTTAAAAGGAACATTTTTTTTTTTTTTTTTTTTTTTGCAAACCCGAGTAGTTTTGCTTCTGCTACTCGCACAGCGAGAGAAGTCTTCTCTACAAAGGGAGTGTTTTAAGCTTAAACCCATAAGATAGTATTTGCTCTTTATCTTTAAAACGAAGAAACCTGACGATTATGGGTCAATCTTTTCCGGTAACAAACTTTCACAGGCGGTGAGCTTGTTCAGTATTGCCAGCTGCAATGGTAATCTAAAGTATTTCCGCGCAAAAGTTTACGATTTTCTTGTTCCGAGGTTCAACGTTTCGTTGGAGTCATCAAAAAAATCGAAAAACAATTAATTGCGTCGCCTTAGTCCGTTTTCTGCGTCGTCACATCGTCGTCACATCGGGTCAGGAGCTTTTCATGATCAATCAAAAGGGACCCACTTGATACGCCATCATTTTGAACGTCAGATGCGTTACTAGTTTTGGTTTCCAGCGCCACTACCATTGAGCACAGCTCCGGCATTCTTTCGTCCGTCGTCTTTTGCTTCTCTCTGAGTTCTTTTATTTCTAAGAGCATAATGAATTGACCTTGCTCTGTCCTTGGAAGTGTGGCAAGTACCGTTGTCAAGTTGACGTCAGTGTTTGAAGATGGAGACAGCGGGTGCGTCATACGGCCCCGGATTTGCTTCCACGTCGCCGCACATGAGCAACATGATACCCCTCAGTCCCGCGGGTAATAAACCATCACATAAAAAAAAAAAAAAAAAAAAAAAAAAAAACCGAGCACGCCGGGTAGGCAAGTCAGTGGACATAGTTTGCTTAGCCCACCACATTTGGGTAAGTTAAACGCCATGGAGCGAACATGCTGCCAAAAGGGACGAATTTCGTCCGTCGCCGCGTTTGCTCCTCTCGGGAAGCGAACGCGCTGCTGGGCCAAGTTTGTCGATTGTTCGTCGCATATTCGTTTTCCACGGAGTCCCCACGGAGTCCCGCCTTTATGCGTCGGGCCTCGTTTAAAATCACGTGGATAGTCATAAACGCGATAATAGAGATACTCGTTTTGTCTAGTCCACTCGACGACCGTTTATAAAAAAAGTATCTTTATAGAATGACCCAGAAGAACTAAAGTTAAGGGTATATACGCTTCGGAGTAACGACATTTGAGCAATATTGATGCCTAAAATCATTGTTCAAAAGAAAGGAGTGATGATTATGATTGAAACTATGGACTGTTATCGTTACTATCTCAATACGAAAAGAGGTAAAAAAAAAAAATAATGCCGGAGCACACTATGCAACACGCAGGCCTTCGGTGCGTCGTGCTGCAGGGGGGTCGGTCCGTGTTCTGGAGGCCCCAGCGGGGCAAGCCATCCAGCTGGCTGGCCACGGCGGAAGCGGTGCACCTGAGCGTGACCCGACTGCTCGCACTCCAGGGCTGCCAGGGGAACGTGGACGACCTGCTCTTCTTCTTCAAGTTCTTCTACGCCAAGATCAGGTCCAGGTACAAGGTAGGGCAGGGTAAAGCAAAGACGTGTCCTGCGCTCGATGCTGGTTTAGGCCGCCGTCGTTGGTCCCTTGTGAATGTCCGCGGTGTCCTCTGGAAAAGGAAAGTAAGTGTACGAATTGTATCTCACCAAAGGGTTCAGCTGTCCGGGTAAAAAAGTGGGGCCGAAATTGGGAAACTCGGAAATTCAATATTATAATCACATGCTCAAAAAAAAAAAAAAAAAAGTTTTTTCTTTCCCGTTTTTCTCTACAACGGACACGAATGAAATGAGCCGAATAAAACTATACATGTAAGTTTTATTCAGTTCATTCCACGCGTGACCGCGGTACTTCACTTTTTGACTGCGGGCTACCAATTAAGCTCTCTTTACTTCTTGCGTTTTCCCTCTTTATGATAATCTGTCTTAATGGCGCACTTATTTACCAAACTACCTGGGGTCACCCTTACAGCTTGTCTGGACCATCTCCTCTCGGCCTTCTGCCTACCCTTAACGTATGGGCCACGCACGCTGCAGAAAAGCGCGGAATAGGCCTGACGCTGTAACTTTATTACTCCCAACTTCTAAGCATCAGGGTCGTGACTGAGAGCTACAACGGGTTTCGTATACGGTCCGGCAACGAAGGAATTCAGACGTCCCGTTGCGTTTCATCGTGGGTTCCTCGACCTTTGTTACAGAATTAAGCCCACGCACACAGAGTGCAAATGATGTACCCTGGCCCGCGGTTGTTTCTCAGGTCACGTCGTCGCAATAAGTCAGGACGATGCGAGGGGACTGATCTTGGCGCTCTCAAATTTCCGGTACAAATTGAGGTAAACTAAGGAGGCTCAAGCTCGCTGTTTCGTTGGCGTGCAGCTACCTTTTTCTTACGTCTACACTTTTTTTTTTTTTCTTTTCATGGGGCGTTTTGAGAACGAGCTTATTTTGTCGCGTGGTCCTTGACACCATGTCGGCGTCGCCGTCGCGTTTACAGGGTCTACGGTGTCACGCGGTAAATATTGACTCGGTTCAACGGCGGCCGCAGAGCGAAAGAGAGAGGCAATGTGCCGCGTTACTCTCGGGTTCAGCTAACGAGACAACCGCTACTGATTCGCCTTACGCGGTCATATGCATGCACTCGGCGTGTACCCTTAACTGTTTTCACTCAGTGTTGCAGCCCCGCACTGCTAGTCGAGCACGTGTCTTCGTCTTGCGTGTTTTTCTTTTCTTCATCTCATCTTTTATTCGGAACTAGAGTAGCAAGGTGTCATTTTCATGCGCACTCTTCACGCCACCGAGAGGCAAAAAAAAAAAAAAAAAAGAACGATGAATCATTTTGTTGCAAAGAAAGTGCCCATCGGCTGGGGTTCAGTTCAATGTTCCGTTATAACCAGCGCGCTGATAATCGTTTTACGAGACGCAGGACTGGCACGGGTACTCTAAGGCGTGAGATTATGTTACCCTAACCACCTCATCGCCATCAGTATTTGCTCCCTCATCTCATTTTATCTTGACTATCTTTACCTCCCTATCCCCTTTTCCCCAGTGTAGTCTGTTAGAACCATGCGCTTAAGTTGACCTCTCTTCCTTACTCTCTCTCTCTCTCTTTCTCTCAGTCCCTTGCACCCGCGGAAGTAGTTTTCGCAGCGCTGCGGAGATTACGCTAGTGTTGACAACGTGGCACAAAAAGGGTGACGCCGAATATAATGACTATCCTTTCGCAGCGTCACCGAATAAGACCAATTCAGGAATTAGCTAATCGCAAAGTGATAGTCATCGTCATTAATAGCCCCGTCCTGATTATAGCTATACTCTGTTTCATACTTAGCGTGCAACGCTTTCAAAGCTGCTGGCGTGAGCGTAAGGCTTGATCTCGTTGATCATTTGCACGCGATCTTTCGCAAACATAACCATAGATGAAGCCACGCGCTCGCGCCAGTAGCTTTGACAGCGTTGCACGCCAAGTATGAAACAGAGACAAAGCGACGACCTTGCCTTAAAAGCTCCAAGTCACGTGACGTTTTGTCGGCACGTGCTGGCAGTATAAGCGAACGAATGGACTGATGATTGAAGGGATGAATAAAGGGATGAATGGGTGGATGAATCACAGAAAAGAATCCGTTCAAAGCTCTTACTGTACTCTTGAAACAATTGTATCTTAATTAGCTTTTTTTTTTGTCGTCTTGGCTTAGCTTTTACCTTTATTTCGAAAATACACTAACGAGCCTACGAAGAACATGCCAAGAAGCAATAGACGGTGGATGTTTCTTCACCGACGACCAGGGTTTTATTGTTTTTGTGTCTTTAAGAAATATTCCATTCGGATCTTTTCACAAAGAAACATTTTATGCGTTAAAAATTGTTCTGTCTAAAGTAAAGTTTTGCTCATGTAAGACCCGTATAGCTCTCGCGCCGGCCCCACTGAGGAACGAAAAATGAGATAGACATATGAATCGCCATATAATGGATAGGAGATACGGGAATGCGTTTGAGACCTTTGATTCGGGTGACTGCTCGTGCCTCCTATAGACCTATTGCTAAATTACCCAAGCATCAAGAAGCATGCAGGGAGCGTAGTCACACGCGCTGCGCGTGCTGGCGCTGGCAGCAGTATTTATTAGAGAAAAAAATCTAAAACAAGTGGCAGTTCGCACCTGCGTCCGCAAACGCCTTTTTGTTATGATATCTTCAAAATCTTTATTACAGGTAAGGCGAGCGAGCGCAGCGGCGTGTAACTACGTTCCCTGTATGCTTCTTGATGCCTGGGCAATTAAGCAATAGGTCTGTTGGGCGCCATGTGATTGTGCCCGCGACAGTCTGTTAGAACTGAGTGAAGGCTAAGCATTTTCCGGGTGTGATTTCGTACTCCAGTACAACTGGCTGCACGACGCCATCAAAGGCGACGCTGTATACAATTGGGAGTGCGGTCGCCGGTTCAGGACTGTATCAGAGACTTATTTCACATAATTGCTGAAGCGGGGATCTGTGAGTACACGTTAGGAAAAGGAATAAAAGATTTAGGGAGTCGCATTGGAGCCGCTTCTCTAAACGCCAGTACCCCGACCCACTAGAAATAAGCGAGACTAACTAAATGAGCGTAGCTTAATTATTCAGGAAGCCATTGATTGAGTTTGGCCTGTTTGCTTCCCCTGCTACTACCTCCTAGTAGCTACTGCAATTTACCTATACTTCGTTTCAGCTTACAGGGGTCATAAAACGATATCGGGTTGGAATGTTCGTGACTTTGCAAGGGCGTACTGGTCCTAGTCTGGCCCAAGTATACTCGCACAGACCGCCTCTGATTCAGAAACTTTTCTTGCCGCGGTGAAATTGCGGGGATAAAAGGGGACTATTTCTTTCAGTCTCGCCTTTGCAAAGCTCGATAACGTAATTGTGGGATCGAAAGCACTCGCCCGACGACAATCGAGCTCGGCTCATGGATTGGACACGATAGCTGCGTGAGCACTCGACTTTGGCTTGTAACAATCAATGCCTCGGCGGACACTCGTGTAGAGGATCGTGTCTAACCGCTGCAGTGAGGAGAATAGCCAATGTCTAACAACGCCTGGAGCTCAGCGCGCGTTTTCTACTTTGCCAACACCAGCGCGTAGTTATGATGAACTTTGGCAGCATAAGATAGGCACCAGGCCACGTGGCTGCTTGTTCTTCTGGCTCCGAGTTGAGGGAATGAACGATGCTCATGTTTCTCGAATATGTTTGGCGACTGCCATTGACTAGAAAGAAAAACTGAGGCAAGTTTATTCGGTTATTAACGTTAGGGAGTGATTTTAAGTAGTATTGAGCGAAAGTAGAAAAATCGGTTTCACGGTGTCATGTCCCCTTTAAGATGCTACACCAAACATTTCAGTGTCTAACAGGGGTGGCCAGGCTTACCCGGCCTAACCGCTCATTCACACTGGAAGCGGATCCGCGTTCGCAAAGCGGTTGCGAACGCGGTTGTATAAAGATCCAGTACAATTGCACGCGCACTTGATGTCATCGAGTGCGCGTGCAATTGCACTGAATCTTTATACAGCCGCGTTCGCAACCGCTTTGCGAACGCGGATCCGCTTCCAGTGTGAATGAGCGGTTAGAGCCGCAAACAAAACCACGAAATTTCCAAGAGCCGCGGGAGAGGGGGGGAGGGGGCGGGCAAACTTTTGTTCAAAACAATAAACAAAACCCGAACTACTTTCAACCTGTCCGAGTCAAATGCAGTCTAGCTGTTCGTAAGGTGGCAGTAGCACAAGACTACCAAAGACTACCGCAAGGCTGTCTTTCGATTTAAAACGCGTACAATTTCTCTTTTTGGGGAAGTGCTCGTGTGATCAGGAGGGAGGCAAGGGGTTGAGGGGGGGGGGGGGGGGGGGCGGAAGGAGAGGGGGTTGCGAGCCGCACTCTAACACGCGAAGATCCGCATGCGGCTCGCGAGCCGCGGCTTGGCCACCCCTGGTCTATAATAAGTGGCGCACTAGCTTTCCATGAGTCAGCAGCCGCCGGTGTGCGCGAGCACGCGCAACGAAATTGACGTCATCATATCATATGGTGACGTCAATGATGACGACTTCAAGCTTATTGAGCGCGTATGGGGGATATGATGACGTCAATATCGTAGCGTGTGTTCGCGCACACCGTCGGCTGCTGACTCATGGGAAGATAGTGCGCCACTTATTATAGACCCTGAAATGTTTAGTTCAGCATCCCTTTACGTCCAGACGCAGCCGACGCTACGAATAATGGGAACAAAACAGCAGCGTCAAAAGTCTGTCATTGGGCCTTTTCTGTTTCTTACTGGTTCAGCCATGATGAAACACGTACAAACGCATGAAGAAACACCATGATGTTGCGATTTTGACGCTATCTTATTTGCCGCATCGGCCCCCGTAACGTAAAAGCGAAGTATAGCCTTCTCGTTATTTTGTTTTTGTTGCGTTTTCAGGATTCCGGAGTTCTGCAATAGCGACGGTGGTTCGGGCCGACCTGCGTTCTCAAGTGGCGTCTGGCTGTTAAGGTCACGCTCTCCGGATTCCGAAGGATGTTCGAGGTCGTCGGCCTGCTTCCCGGAGTCGAGTCGCGAGCTTCGCTGAATAAACCTGTTTTTCTTTTGCCAGCAAAGTGTACGCGTTTATTGGCTCTTTCTAAGCTCGCATACCCGGGAGCAACCTATGGACCATCACGGTAATAACCTCCCGCGCGCTGCCATCTGGGGAACACGTCGTCCTGATCGAGCTTGCGCAGTAGCCCTCTTTCGGGGAATCTCAGACGCCACACATGCGTCCGCAGCCCGGTGACTCGGCATTTTTAGCCTGGGTGACGATAAGCGCCGAAGAATTGTGCATACATCATTTCACCGTTTATTGTGCGGTCGAAAACTGCCGAATCACCGGGTTGTGAACGATCAGTGCCATTGGAATTTGAATGGTTTACAAGATCCTTGCATCAACGCGTAACCATATGGCGTAACTTTCGTCAGATATGTTGGTGGTTTGGTGGCTTCCATGTATCGTCTTCTTCCGAAAGCGAGTTTTGGTGATGTGGAATGCGCGCAGCGAAGCGCTATGATGGTCGCAGTAAGCAGCAGCAACAAATGCTTAGTCTTGCTGACGTTATTATAAAAAAAAAGAAAATTAATTAATTTATTCTTTGTTAAAAAGTATTGAATTAGTTTCCCTGAGAATAAAAAAAAAAGTAATTGGCCGTTACGGTTACTTGAAAAAGTGACCGTTACTTTTTCGATTATTTCACAATTGAAGGGCTTTTTTTTCTGTTGGTTTTAGTTTTATTATCAAAGGATGCAGTGAACTGTTCGTTCCGATTCTAAAACATATCTTCAAGCTTTCTCTTAGTTCGAGAACATTTCCGTCTCTTTGGAAAAAATCGGTGGCCGTTCCGGTTCTAAAAAATGGCGATGCGTCCCTTGTTACAAATTATCGCCCAATTTCCTTGCTTTGTGGCTTTTCGAAAGTTTTCGAGCTTGTCATCCGTAAGAGAATGCTATTTTATTTCCGACAAAAAATAACTTCATTGCAGCATGGTTTTTTGAGTGGTCGGTCAGTCGAGACTAATTTATGTACATTTTTAGACTTTTCTGCCCCAGTTGTGGCTAACAGAGGACAAGTCGACTCAATATATTTTGATTTGTCTAAAGCGTTCGACAAAGTGAGCCATAAATTACTCTTGCGTAAACTGTCTTCATATGGAGTGTGTCTTGAATTATGCGAATGGTTTGACAGCTATCTGTCACTGCGCCCAAACTCTGTTCGGATTGGTGACCGTTTCTCTGAAAATTGTTTTTCGTCGTCCGGCGTTCCCCAGGGACCAATACTGGGCCCTCTTTTGTTCTTGATCTTCATAAATGATATTGTGTCTTGCGTAAACAGTTCCGAACTACTTCTTTTTGCTGATGACCTTAAATTGTTCAAAAGCATTAATAGTCTTAAAGATTGCGATGTCCTGCAAGGTGACGTTACCAGCGTTCTTCAGTGGTGTAAAAATAATCAACTGCTGTTAAACCCCCAAAAAACAAAAGTGATTTCTTTTTGCCGTAGGCATTCTGTTTTTGAGTTTACCTATTATCTCGATGGATCGCCTATACAGCGTGTATCAATCTTAAAGGACCTTGGTGTGTGTTTTGACAGTGCTTTATCTTTTAGAAATCATGTGTCATTGGTCGTGGGCAATGCTTTTAGAGCGTTAGGGGTAATTTCTCGTTTGACGCGTAATTTTAGAAACCCTCATTCAATGGTTAACCTTTTTAACTCTTTGGTTAGGTCACGACTGGAGTTTGCTTCTGTCGTATGGAACTCGATTTCTAACACACAGGCTATGAGCATAGAAAATGTTCAGAAAAGACTTGTCCGGATCGTTTATGATAGATACTTTGAGCGGCGCTTTTATTATAGGTATGAATCTATAATGAAAATGTTATCTCTTTCTCTATTGTCTAAAAGGAGGACTGTTTGTGATTTAATTTTTCTGCACAAGGTTGCGAATGGTGCTGTTGATTCGGCTCAACTCCTTGCAAAAGTGAACTTTCATATTCCATTCCGAGTAACTAGACACTTTGTTAGTTTTGATGTTCGCTCGCCGTGTAACACCTCACCTCTCTTGCGGATTCAGTCATTATATAATACCTTCGCTCCACCCCACCTTGATATATCTGCATCAATTTCTATGTACCGTCGCGATTTAAATGATATTATTCTAGCCCCTTAGCATTATGTTTGTCTTGGATGTTTTATTGTTTTTTTTTTAGTAAATGTTTAGAGCCTATGTACTCGCTTGCTCATTTTGCTTGTTGTGTTGGTGCACCAATAAGAAGACCAATGTGGTTGTTTTTGGGCACCCCAAAATAAAGATTATTAATATTATAAGGCGGGTTGTTTGTACTGTCCATATACTTGGTTCGATGATTTCTGGCAGGCAACTTGTACAAAAGGCTTAATACTTCCAAAAGTAATCAGATTATTCGTGCGTTTACTTCCTACTAAATATAACCTGGTTATTACACAATTACTAAACAAACAAAAAAAAATCGGGGCACTTACGCATCTTTTAAGGTGAAACACTGCGATAGCTCAGGTGTAACGTCGGAGCCGCTAAGGCGTCATTTCGTAGTAAATGGATCGAATGAACTGGAAAGGTGCGAGCACGCAGCATATAGGCGTTTCGTATTGAACCGAGTAACATACCAAACGAAAGTTCCAAAGCGTTTTGGAACTAATGAGGTTGTATTAGTAGAGAGCAGTTCGTCAACCCGTTAAACAATTTTACTGGACACAAACTAAGGCTGCCTCGTGGTAATTGAAGAATATCTCAATCTCGTGCCCAAGTTGTAAATCCAGTGAACGACGAAACTGCATGCGCATGCATGAACCGTTCCCTGCCGTTGGTGTGGCTTCCTGAACGTCTTATGCAATGTTATTGAACACAAACTCACCGCCTCGTGGTCACCGAAGAACACTTTTAAAATCGCGCACTCAAGTTTCAAGCGTGTAGCTCGACATAATTTCACGCCCGTGGCACGGCCGCTCGAACAGGGGGGATCGAGCGGCCGTGCCCGTGGTTTCGCCGCCTTAACACCGACCTAGCTTTAATGGTTTCATTGCCCGAGAACCTTCTGGCATAATTAACGAAGACGCTTTGTTTTTTATTGTTTCCTCATAGAAGCTTGTTTTTGATGGCATATTGTTTGTCGAGATTTAGTCAATAAAGAGTGACCAGTTCTAGGTGGCAGCAATATAAATACACGGGCACTATTTTCCCTTGGGGGATCTATCCTCGGGTTCCCCACCACCTCCATAAAATTTGACCAATGCAAATAATTGATTGCGTGGATATTCCGAACGTTACTATTATAGCTCTTTATAGTCGCGTTGCGCATTAAAACACTTTTGGGTGTAGGAGACGCAAGTCTGCAATTCTTGACTGAAAACGCCGTCCGACTACGGGGCTCCCTGGTGTCTGCTCCAAGGCACAGAAAAAGCGGCGTGTCACGATTTTTGAGTAAATTTTTAACAGGGAAATCTTGTCGGTTCCGTCGCCCGGCTGGGAGAACTTCCGTTTCCGGTAGAAAGGCATATATACTTTACGTCACGGCCACCTGATTTCACGCGTTGGTGGCCGAGTCCGGTCGAGTCAAGGAGAAACGCAGACGTGAGTTTTCATCTTTTCCTTGCGCAAAACTGGAGGCAATAAGACGAAAAAGGATTCCTGCTCCGGGTTCTATGAACATTGAAGATGAATTGGGGTCTTCATTTGCAAAAAAAACTGAGAAATCATTTCATAGTCCCTTTAAGTCCTGACTCAGCCGGCGCTGAGAGCTGGTGGGACCAATCAGGCAGCATCAAAAACGGAAACCACTGGGCCTCTTTTGTTTATGATTGGTTCAACGATGATAGAACACGTACAGACTCGTGACGAACACCATGAAGGTGCGCGTTTAACGCTCTCCGACTGGTCCCATCAGCTATTGGAGTCGGCTGCGTCTGTACTTTAAGGGTAAATGAGGTACAGTACTGTGTGAGATACTACGTCACTGTCACGTAATTAAAATATGAAAGTATATATATACCGATTTTTTTTTTTTAACACAAGCCTAATCTTCAAGAAGGCAGAGAACTACGCCAATATCTCACGTATGCCCACACCCGAGTGAACCACATACCTCCTGCGGGGTGAGGCTCCGGCCTAGTTCACTCTATGACCTTGCGCTCGTGGAGGATGCCCTTGCAGTTGGGACAAACATGGTACAAGTCCTTGAAGTAGTTCATGTTCAGGGGCAGCCAGAAGCAGCAGCAGCTGTGACAAAGCGAGTTTTTTTTTTTTTTTTTTCTTTTAATGGGCGCGTTTGCACGACCAAGATGGACTGAGCATGTCTAATTTTAGCCAGTTTCATGGAGATGTTTTGACGCGCGCATAAGTTTCATGTAAAGGCGAGTGATACGCCTTACGTTCCCGCGCGTGTAACTGCCGCCTTACTTATAAAGAAAACCCGAGCACCAGTCTAAGTTTAGTTGGTACCCGATACCGACTTGCCGAGCTGTCTTTTTCTTCGTGTTCGCATTTTGTCTGTATAGCTAAGAAAGGTTCCATTCACTTTTTATCGTTAGGAGGCCTCCGCCACTGGTTACTATATTTATTGGACCTGTTTCTCCTGATTTCTGACGCTGTGAACGCCCATCTCGGACGTATCATTGTGTCGGCCACAGCAACTCTGAAAGCCGCGGTACACTGCTCATACTGCTGCAGATATGTGACAGAATTCTTCGCGGGCACGCCCCAACCATGTTGGAAGCATTTTTGCTTCATCTATACGTGCATATGCTTCGATCATGATTGCAGACAGTTTTTGTATGACCAACGTGACATGCAGGAAAGAAACGCTTCAGACACTGTCTAGAGGCTGTCTTTTGTACGATGTTTTAACGGTGTGACCGCAGCTTAAGAGGACACCATTGACAAATGTCCACTGTCAACCGCTAATGCAAAAATAACTACACTAACCCTCAAATAAAAAAAAAATGCGGCTGCGGCCATCGGTGGTAGTGTTCCGCGACACAAAACACGCACCAGCAAACGGAAAGGCAGAGCAGAACCGCCGCGGCCTTG